AATGTTACAAAGCATAATGAAGAAAAACATTAATGGCCACGAAATATTTTCCTTTAATTCCTGTCCACTTGTTCATTATTTTAAATACTCCATATTTAGATCACCCGTTTTGCAGAACTATTAAATGCTACGTAAATTAACTGTTTCACTAAGTGGTTCGATGCACATCTTTGAGTAAATTTCTACATAAGGTATCTTAATGGTGTCGATTCCGATTATCAGGCCAGTCATGGCCATTGCACCCGCAAAAGTAAAAACTCAAAATTATTGTTTTTGCTAATGTATTATAAAAAGACAAAAATAAAATAAGATAATAATAATGGAAATAAAAATAAGAACTCAATCACCTGACATTCATCTTTCGAATCAGTGATGACGAAGGAAAACACTGCGTCCAGGTTCGCCATCTTCATCGCTGCTCTGCAAAACAGAATATTACCAAAGAAAACAAGCTGGTGAATACGAGGCAGACCTGTTCTGAAAAAACGCACCCTTTACACTTTCGTACGGGTTAGCTCTACTTCGGGCATTTCGGAGCTCCCGATCGTTCAGATGATCGAATACATTCTAATGCAAACACTTGATATTATTCAAAATAAAAAAATTAACTCAATTTTTTAAAACAAAAAATTAAAAAACTCAGCTGTTGTCGATCAGAAGTCTACAGGCGAAAGTAGGAGGGCTACAGACCGTGAGGAAGTCTCCGTAAAACTTAGCCATATGACCCTCATGGTATTGCCGTCACTGAACATTATAACGGCTCAGTCGCAGAACGGGTTACCAAGGGCCGCAGAGGGAGGGTGGACTGAAGAAGGCTGCGAAATGCCGGCAATCAGAATCAACTCATCCTCTTCTGGCAGAAGGAAACGTAGCAACGGCTATCGAAGACCAAGACACGACAAAGCAACGAATCAGAAACGGAGTCGCTATCCGTTCTGAACGGGTAGGCAGACACAATGATGCCACTGTGTCACGTTAGAAACCAACAGGGACAACACCGCCAAAGGGAGCTCATAGTCGGAAATTGGAACATATTCGAACTCACAGCGAAAGAGCAAGAGAGATAATCGATGAGACTGCTAGGTACCAAGTCGAAATAGTTAGACTGTCGTCAACGAAGCGTCAAGGCTATGGATACTTGAGCTTCTGCCGGTGAAAGCTATACTACGCACGCGTCGATATCACGACGCGCGCTCAGGCTGGTGTTGATGTTTTCGTAGAACTCAACCTGGCTGACAGAATCACTGAGGGTAAGAATGTCAAACGAAGGGTGGCAAACATCAGACTGAAGATACAAAAGGTTAAAGCGTTGATCTTGCTGCAGCTCTATGCGCCTAGTTTAGAGGAAGAATATGATACTTTCCTTCAGGAAGTGCAGTGTGCAAAGTCCCTCATGCCCGTGGGCATTTTAATGCGCATGTCAGAGCAGACGCTGAAAAGTGGAAAGGCGTGACTGGAAAGAACGGCCCTAGCGACCTCAACGACAGCGGCATAAAGTTGTTGCGGTTTTGCGCAAACAACGGATTGCCTCCTATGAACACTTCCAACGATGATCGAAGTATGCGATATTATACCTAGTACAAGAAAGCATGCGCAAAGAAGTCGATAATCAAGTTGAAAATCTATCGCCCGTCTTGTGACCCTCTGCAATCGAGTTCCAGTGAAAAGAAGCAAAGAACTGTCAACAGATCACCATTCTGCTGTTGGCACGCAGAGAAATGAAGTACAATAAGACGATCTGGTGGCAAAGCCAACCAGAGAATCAAATGGGAAGCATTATCTTTGGTAGACACGAGAGAGAAATTTGCAAACAACATCGCACGACGGTTTGAACAGATCCCAGATGGCAACTGATGATGAAACTGACTGGCAGCTGTTTAAAAGCAGCATATTCGAGGCTGCCGCCGAATGCTGCGGATTCTAAACGGGTTGGCCTGTCGCCTGGAGGTCAAAAAAGATCTTCATGATGGACACGAGAGGAACAACTGCCAGTTAAAGAGAAGAAAGCAGCGTTCAAGAAATGGCTTAGAAACAAAGAGCCTTCTACTCGCGTGCGATACGTCGAGGCACGCAAGGCGGCAGCCAACGCAGTGGCAAAAGCCAAAGCTGATTCCTGGGAGAAGTTAGGTGAGATGCAGGAGTCGAATTTCCACACGGCAAACAAAGTATTCTAGCAGACCATCCGCCGGCTCCGAGGTGAAGAGACGGGCAGTCTCAGAGTGTTGAAGGACAGATCTGGACACACACTTACGGAGGATGATGACATTCTTCGGCGATGGAGGGAGTACTTTGAGGAACTCCTTAACCCCGCGCAACAGCAGGA